AAACTAGAATCTCATTTGGGAGCCTGGTGCCAGAAGCTGGGTGAGGGGAGCAGTGGCCTAGACTTGGGTGGTGTTAATAGAGATGGAAGGATCTGGACCCATGTTGTCTAACATGGTAGCACTAGTCACATGTGGCTCCTGAGCACTTGAAAGGTGTAAGCGGAAAATCTACACCAGGTCTTGGGAGGCTTAGTACAAAAAAAGGATATAACATCTCTTGTTGAAAACTAGTTTATATTATGTGTTAAAATAATAACCTAGGTTATTTTAATTATTAATATTTTGGATATTTCATGTTAAAATATATTAAAATATTCAACCTTTTTACTTTAAAAAACTGGCTACTGAAAAAACTTAAATTACATATGTTGTTTGTAGCTGTAGCTCCCATTATGTTTTTATTGGACGATGCTGATATACACAAAAGTTGTCAAATTTAAAAAAATACTCTTTTTTGGAGACAGGGTCTTGTTCTGTTGTCCAGATTTGCGGCTAGTGGCATGATCATAGCTCACTACAAGCTTGAACTCTTGGGCTCAAGTGATCCTCTGGCCTTGGAATTCCAAAGTGTTAAGATTACAAGTGTGAGCCACTATGCCTGGTCACAGAATTTATAGTAAATTTACATTGGCCACATTAGAAATTTATAGCTAAGTATAGATTTTTTTCTGGTCCACAGAAGATATTTATTTGATGTAATAAAAACAAAATAGTCTTCTATCCAACCACAAAGACTAAAAGGAGTGGAAAATTTGAATATACACATACAAAACTCAAGATGTTTAACGTGACAATTTTTTTAATTAAATAATGCTACTAGCTGCATGTGTTGGCTTATGCCTGTAATCCAAACACTTTGGGAGGCCAAGGTAGGAGAATCGCTTGAGCTCAAGAGACCAGCCTCGTCAACATGGCAAAACCGATTTCTTTTTTTTTAAATTGCATTTTAGGTTTTGGGGTACATGTGAAGAACATGCAAGATAGTTGCATAGGTACACACGTGGCAGTGTGATTTGCTGCCTTCCTCCCCTTCACCTATATCTGGCATTTCTCCCCATGCTATCTCTCCCCAACTCCCCACTCCCCGCTGTCCCTCCCCTATTCCCCCAACAGACCCCAGTGTGTAGTGCTCCCCTCCCTGTGTCCATGTGTTCTCATTGTTCAACACCTGTCTATGAGTGAGAACATGTGGTATTTCATTTTCTGTTCTTGTGTCACTTTGCTGAGACTGATGGTCTCTAGGTTCATCCATGTCCCTACAAAGGACATGAACTCATCGTTTTTGATGGCTGCATGATATTCCATGGTGTATATGTGCCACATTTTCCCTGTCCAGTCTATCATTGATGGGCCTTTGGGTTGGTTCCAGGTCTTTGCTATTGTAAACAGTGCTGCAGTGAACATTCGTGTGCATGTGTCCTTATAGCAGAACAATTTATAGTCCTTTGGATATATACCCAGTAATGGGATTGCTGGGTCAAATGGAATTTGTATTTCTAGATCCTTGAGGAATCGCCACACTGTCTTCCACAATGGTTGAACTAATTTACACTCCCACCAGCAGTGTAAAAGTGTTCCTATTTCTCCACATTCTCTCCAGCATCTGTTGTCTCCAGATTTTTTAATGATCGCCGTTCTAACTGGTGTGAGATGGTATCTCAATGTAGTTTTGATTTGCATCTCTCTAATGACCAGTGATGATGAGCATTTTTTCATATGTTTGTTGGCCTCATGTATGTCTTCTTTTGTAAAGTGTCTGTTCATATCCTTTGCCCATTTATGAATGGGCTTGTTTGTTTTTTTCTTGTAAATCTGTTTGAGTTCTTTGTAAATTCTGGATATCAGCCCTTTGTCAGATGGGTAGACTGCAAAAATTTTTTCCCATTCAGTTGGTTGCCAATTCACTCTAACGACTGTTTCTTTTGCCGTGCAGAAGCTGTGGAGTTTGATTAGGTCCCATTTGTGTATTTTGGCTTTTGTTGCCAATGCCTTTGGTGTTTTGGTCAGGAAGTCCTTTCCTACTCCTATGTCCTGAATGGTTTTCCTAGGTTTTCTTCTAGGGTTTTTATGGTGTTAGGTCTTATGTTTAAGTATTTAATCCATCTGGAGTTAATTTTAGTGTAAGGTGTCAGGAAGGGGTCCAGTTTCTGCTTTCTGCACATAGCTAGCCAGTTGGGAACAACACCATTTATTAAACAGGAATCCTTTCCCTGTTGCTTGTTTTTGTCAGGTTTATCAAAGATTGGATTGTTGTAGATATGTTGTGTTGCCTCCAATGCCTCTGTTCTGTTCCATTGGTCTATATCTCTGTTTCGGTACCAGTACCATGCTGTTTTGATTACCGTGGCCTTGTAGTATAGTTTGAAGTCTGGTAGTGTGATGCCTCCTGCTGTGTTCTTTTTACTTAGAATTGACTTGGCTATGCGGGCTCACTTTTGGTTCCATATGAAGTTTAAGGTGGTTTTTTCCAATTCTGTGAAGAAGGTCATTGGTAGCTTGATGGGGATAGCATTGAATCTATAAATTACTTTGGGCAGTATGGCCATTTTCTCGATATTGATTCTTCCTAACCATGAACATGGAATGTTTCTCCATCTGTTTGTGTCCTCTCTTATCTCGTTGAGCAGTGGTTTGTAGTCCTTGAAGAGGTCCTTTATGTTCCTTGTTGGTTGTATTCCTAGGTATTTTATTCTCTTTGTAGTGATTGTGAATGGCAGTTCGTTCTTGATTTGGCTCTCTTTAAGTCTGTTATTGGTGTATAGGAATGCTTGTGATTTTTGCATATTGATTTGGTATCCTGAGACTTTGCTGAAGTTGCTTATCAGTTTTAGGGGATTTTGGGCTGAGACAATGGGGTCTCCTAGATATACTATCATGTTATCTGCAAATAGAGACAATTTGGCTTCCTCATTTCCTATTTGAATACTCTTTATTTCTTTTTCTTGCCTGATTGCTGTGGCTAGAACTTCCAGTACTATATGGAATAGGAGTGGTGAGAGAGGGCATCCTTGTCTAGTGCCAGATTTCAAAGGGAATGCTTCCAGTTTGGCAAAACCCATTTCTACAAAAAAAATACAAAAATTAGCTGGGCATGGTGGCACATGCCTGTAGTCCCAGCTACTAGGGAGGCTGAGGTAGGAAGATCACTTGAACCTGGGAGGTAGAGGCTATAGTGAGCCAAGATTGTGTCACTGTACTCTAGCCTAGGTGACAGAGGGAGACCCTGTCTCAAAAACAAAGCAAAATGCTTCTAAAGTTCCTTAGTTATTGAAGATTATGTGAAAACATAAGGATGTTAATAGCAACAGAGGGCATGAAACAAAATATCAAATTTTAAGCAAATGGGCCAGGTGCAGTGGCTCTTTCTTGCCTGAAATCCCAGCACTTGAAGCACTCAAAGCAGGAGGGTCACTTAAACCTGGGAGTTTGAGAACAGCCTGGCCAGGAGAGTGAGCCCCTATACCTACAAAAAAGAAAAAATCAGCTGGGCATGGAAGTGCGTATTTGTAGTCCCAGCTATGCAGGCATCTGAGATGGGAGATCTTGAGCTCAGGAGGTTGAGGCTATGGTGAGCTGTGATTGCACCTTTGCACTTCTGCCTGGGCAACAGAATAACACCCTATCTCAAAAAAAAAAAAAAAAAAAAAAAAAAAAAAGAAAATTAACATGTGAGGCAACTTTGCTAACATTGCATGAATTTTTTCCTTGTTTAAAATCTGCTCAAAATATGCCAACTGTGTGGGCAACATATTCAGGTTTAATATCAGTTACACATTAGCATAAATTTGGAGAAATACACATAGGGTATTGTTTTCTTTTGAGCTGGCAAAGTGACCACGGAAACATCAGATCATCTCTCTGAATAGAACATTTTATCCAAATAAATGTCACATGCCTTCCAGACATATTTTAATCACATATTTAATAATTTCTTAGGCTGAGTGTAGTGTCTCATGCCTATAATCCCAGCACATTGGGAGGCTGAGGCAGAAGGATCACTGGAGCCCAGGAGTTCAAAACCAATCTGGTCAACCCAGTGAGATCCTGTTTCTATAAAATAAAAAAATAAAAAAGTTACACGAGTGTCGTGACTACATGCCTGTAGTCCCAGCTACTCGGGAGGCTGAGGTGGGAGGATTGCTTGAGGTTGGGAGTTAGAGGCTGCAGTGAGCCTCTGCACTCCAGCCTGGGTGACAGAGTGAGACCCCTACCTCAAAACCAAACCAAACCAAAACAAAAAACTTTTTCATGTGATATTTGTAGATGATTTGAATTTTAAATGACTTTGACTTCTTAACATTTTATTGTCTTTATAAAAATACTCTCAAGTTAGGAAGACAGCTGGTTCCAGTCTTATGACAGTATGTTGCATGAGGCCCTGTAAAAGATGAGGAGTTGTCCCTGAGGTTATGGGGCTTACTGGGAAGAGCACATGTTCTAGGTTTGAAGACAGAAGACTTAGGCTTTATCTGGCAGACATAATGTGTGAACTTGATCTTGATTTTACACCTCTGAATCTCACTTTCCTTATTTGTAAAATGGAAATAGATTATGAGTAGTACTAGCTGCCACAAAGGTCATAGCTTTCTCCTCATCCTTTATCATACCCCACAAGGTAGTTGCTCTTACCTCCTTTTGACAGAGGAGCAAACTGAATTTCAGAACGGGTATGCCACTTAAGGTTACGTTGCTAGAAACAGTTGAAGTGAGGATTTGAACTCAGTTTTTCTGTCTCCAAAGTCAGCTGAAAATTGTTTTTTCCCACTCATCGTGCCCCTTGTTAATTTCCCTGCTTACCTCTGAGATTGGGAAGATCAAATAAGACTGGTGAATGGGCTTTGGAAAAATATCATAAAAGACACAAACATGTAATAGATCATGAATTCTCAATGAAACAGGAGTATGAACAGAAGCTCCAGAGAAATACAAACTTCTGTCTGGTGCATATGATCTGTCTGTTTAAATGCAGTGAGTATCACATGTTGTGTTTTCAGATTCAAGCTCTGAAAGTCATATTACAGAGGAATGATTTCCTTCCTCCGGATAAAAATTTACAGGAATTTGGAGGAAAATATTTCCTTGGTCATTACTAAAACGTTCAGAGTCAGATACATTCAGCATCATACTGTAGATCCTGTTAGTCAAAGCATAAACAAGCGTAGGGCCTGGGGTGGCTTCCTTCAAGTAGGCTGACTCAGTCTGGGAGGATTCACTTAGCAAGAAGCAGAGAGGAAACAAAGCAGGATGAAGACATTGCCTCTGCTCGTGCTGGCTCTTACCTTACTGACTGTCTTCTCAGGTGGGTATTGACTCCAAAAACAGCCTATTTCTATGCTGACATGATAAATAATAATCTATTTGATATTTAATTTTCTTTAATTTTAAATAATATATAGTGTATAATATATAGCTATTTCAATGCTTTTTCTTTTTTTTCCCATTAAGAGCAGGCTTCCAGAATTATCATTAAAGATATGCTATATTTTCTTAAAAAAAATCTTTAAATGTATTTGAGCACTAATTCTCAAAAGTGCTGATGAATCTTCAGCTTCTGTTAGCTTATTTTAGAGTTTATATGAGATCACCAAAATTTTATATATTTTTATTATGACAATATCTTTCAAAATTTGCAAGTAATTATCAAAGCAATGTAATTTTATGCCATATCCTTTGAGGGATTGTGATGATCAGGTTTAACATAATCTTATTATCACTGGGCATCTTCCAGGAACAACTTTAAACGTGATTTAGTGTATTGAGGATTGAAAAAAAAAAAGACTTCCATGAAAGCAAACCTAAGAGACACAGACCAGAGAACTAAAAAAAAATGTCTGAAAAAAACATCTCCATTAAATTAATACCCACGTTTAAAGAGATGGACCATTGCAATCAGTAAATATGTTTAGGTTGTGCAGCTTCTGCTCTTAGTTAATCATTTTAGAAACAATTTAAAATTCCTTTCTGAGCCCTCTGGAATGCTGCATCCTTTGGGACAGGTCCCTGGGAAAGAACTTTCATGTTTTAACCAAAATTGAACTTGCAAATCTTTTGCCTCGGACTGTGGAAATAGCTCATGAACTCCTGAGCCTAAGTGTCCTTAAGGCACCTTCCTGAATTTTCCAGAGACCTCCCCGATTTTGATGGAGAAGCAGGCCAAACAGCTCCTAAGATCTCGGCGACAGGATAGACCAAGCAAACCCGGATTCCCTGACGAGCCAATGCGGGTGAGTGCTTGGCTCTGGCAGTTTTAAAGAAAATGTGGTCATGTGAATGCCATTCATTATGAAGCTAGGTGTTGGTTCCAGCATGGGCTGCTAGTTGGGGTTCAGTTAGAGTTTCAGGTATAAGACACATGCAATCTGAATCTTTTACCTATGCATTTTCTCCTCTGGAGGTGCCAGCCTGACTCACCTGTTGTGAACAGGGTAATTTAAAATAGAAATAATGGGGCTGACGGTGGGAGTTCCAGAATCTGGAGAGGGCTGCTGAGTGTCACCCCTGTCCTGCCTGCTGGGTGCTTGTTCCCTTTAGCCAATGCTAACCCCATCTCCTACTTCTTCCCTTGGGCCCCAGGGCAGGCTGGACCACCATCCTTGGTCAATGATGGTCTGTCCAGGCAGGAATAATGTCAGCCCCAGCTGCCTGAGAGCTTCTGCTCCAATCTCCTCCCTCCGATTGTGGTCTCTGGCCTTACTTCTGCCCCGTGGGGTCATGGTATCCACCTGTCTAGTCTTTCTGAACCAGGCTCCCTCTCTGAGTGGATGTTACTAGACACTGCCATGCTGGCCCATGACCCAGTTTAGGCCTGCTTGGTTCCTCCTGTTGCTAAAATGATACTGACTTTGGTGGCATTTTAGCCCCACCCAGTTAAGGGAAGTAGCGGTGTCTCGGCAAAGTTAGAATGTCTATCAGGCTGGTCTCCCATCCTGGCCCCTTCATCTGGGTGTGATGCTTATCCTCTCTTCCCTGCATCTCCATGTTGAGGCCCAGAAAGAGCTGCAGTAGCATATACCTTCATTCACTGCAAAATCACATGGATAATTTGATTATTTCATTTTAAAGGCTCTTACTAAGATACAGTATTGCACAGTGACGAAGAGTGCTGACTCTGGGGTCAGACTGGGTTTGAATCTCCCTGTTTCCTAACTGGGTAACCTTCGGGATGTTCCCTCACATTTCTGCAGTTCAGTACTCTCATCTATAAAATGGGAATAATAAATAATGTTGCTGATATTACTATAATATTATTATAAATGATAATGTAAAATAACTACTTTATGATGATAAAACAAAGTACTTCTTAGGAAAGCACTTAGAAAGTGCTCAGCAAATGGTAAGTACTCCTTTGAGTGTTAAGTACCAGGTACCCTCTAGGTGCTGGGGCTGTAGGTTTCTGCTTAGAATCTGTGGTGGAGACAGAAGTAAGCAAGTGGCTGCTATGCAGTATGATTTAAGAACAAATGACTTCAGGCTGTTAAGGAGAGATGTGGCTTTTAATTTTTTTTTTCTGTAGAATAAGAGGTAGCTCAGAATATTTAAGTGCAAGGTTGGAGGGGACTGGCAGGTGGGCAGGGCAAGATTGAGAGGTTTGAATGACTTGGATTTTATCTTGTGTCTAGTAGAGAACAACTGAAGGATTTTTCAGGTGGGGGAGTACAGATCTGGGTGTTAGAGAGTTTGGGAGAATTAGAAGAGAAGAGGCCCGTGATTAAAGTCTGGGGTCACCAACACTTGGAGGTGGGCAGGGAAAGAGGAACCCTGAAAGGGCTAACAAGGAATGCAGGGAGATAAAGAAGCCAAGAGAGTGGGGGTGGCAGAGCAAGAGGGGAGGCTTAGGAGAGGGTGGCGGGTGAAGGAGGGGCAGCATATGTACAGCTGTGATGGGGAAGAGGATGCCTGCGGGGAGGGATCTTGTTGTGGGGGCTCTGGCTGTACTTTTGTCATGATGTCTGGAGCAGCCTTTCTGCAGCTTTTCCTCAGGGATGCTGCAGGGCCTGGGGGAGCTGGTCAAAGGGTTTCCCAAACAGCGGCTCCTTCTCGAGGTGCTTGAGAGGCAGCTGTGATGACTCCTACATCTTCCCCTGACATTTTCTGTGCCAGCATCTGTGCCCACCTCTTAGAAATCTGACTGCGGAATAACAGGCTTTCGTTCTGACTGAGGCACTGTAGGTGTGGGTGAACAGGTGGGTTTGAACTGTTGCAGCCCAGCTCTCTGCCCACCATCCTTCCTGCACCATGTCCATATGCCAGCCTACATGCCAGGCTAGACTCTGGCCCTAAAACCCTGCTTCGTGTGGTCCTTCTCCTGCTCAGAAGCTTCTGAAAGCTCCTCTGACTGCCTTTTCCCACTTGTGGTCGTCACCTCCCTTAATCCTTGACAGCCCTTTGCTTGCTTCCAACTTTGCAATTTTACTGAATACCTGGCTTTTTCTGGTTTGTTTTGCTAATCTTTTATGGGCTTGACCACCACCTGCTTCTCTTAACTGGCTCGAACCTACCCGATTAGTTTCCCTGTAACTCCTTCTTGCCTCAGAACCTATTGCTGAGCCACCATCCCGTCCTCCATATCCCTCCCTGAGACACTTGGTCCATTGTCCAGAATCCTCAGGCACTCAGTCCAGTTTGGAAAAGTGGTTGTATGTTTTACAGTTGAAATGTGATGCAAACATGCAGTCGATTACTGGGTGCCTAGTCTATACCAGTAGTTCTTATCCAGGGGTGAGTACGCCTCCTCATCCCCAGGGACATTGGACAATATCTGAAGGCATTTTTTGTTGCTACACTGATGTGGGGTGTTTCCTTTGGCCCCCAGTGGGTAGAGGCCAGGGATGCTGCTAAATATCCTACACAGGGCCCAGGTCAGCCTCCACAGCCCGCAGTTATCTGGCCCAAAATTTTAGTAGTGCCAAAGGAGAGGAACCCGGTTTCCACACTGCCAAGTAAGTTTTTCTTGTTTACTCCCTGTCACGCTGTGTATGTCTCTCTCCATAATTGCAATCACTCGAACACACGCAGAATTGGCTGAATCAACAAATAGTGTCTGCTCTCATATTTTTCTAGGAATATGTTTCTTAACTTTGGCTACATTCTGGAACCACTTGGGGAATTTAAATTCTGATGCTTGGATCCCACTCCCAGAGGGGTGGCCTAGGATGGAACCTAGATATGGGGGATGGAACTAAAGCCCCAGTGATACCAACCTGCAGCTGAGGCTGAGGACCACTGGGCTAGGTCGTCTGAAAAATCAGCCACATGCGTACCAGCTCCTGTGGTCTAGTTGGAAACACAAAAGCATTTAGAAAGCTGTTAAATGTTGAACTGAGTGGTATGGAGAGTAAGTACATTAGTTGTTTAGACAGAGAGAGTGAGAGGGTCAAGTGGTGGGTGCTGATCAAGAGGTGCACTTAAATTTTACACTGACTGTGCCCTACTAAGCACCAGGCACTGAGGATGAAAGATAAGCCAGACATTCCTCCTTCATTCGAGGTGCCCATTGTGTGGAGGTGGAGCCAGAGTGCTCCAGCCTGATTTGGGCTCACTCTTGAGGTTGTCTGGTACAACAGACTGTGGCTCTGCAAGGAGAGAGTCTTGAGCTCTAACTGGAAGGAAGGAGGAGGCTGGGAAGGCTTTCCAGAGGAGGTGCCCGTCCAGCTGTGTCTTGAAGGATGACTAGGAGTTCAGTGCAGGAGGCAGGGATGAGGTGGGGGGATTATTCCACCTGGTGCAATTCCAGTCCATAGTCTGCCGCTAACTAGTTGTGGACTTTGGATAAGTCACTTCCTCTTTTGGAAGCCTAGTTTTTTCATCTGTAAAATGCAGAGTTTGGCTGGAATCTGGCCTAGACATTCCAGCTCTTATATTGTAGGTCTCTGGATAGAATCTTGGGGCTGACACAGGTTTCCTGGTGCCAGTCTGCAATGTGGCAGAAGATCCAGAGGCAGCAGGATACCAACCTGGGCGGAGTCAGGCAATTTATTTTGAAGCCCCTGGAGGGGTGTTCCTAGAAACCACAGGCTTCCTCATCATGCCGACCCCGCTGCTGGAGTACTCCACATCCTCGACTGACTATTTGAGCCATTCATGCCTCTTGGCTCTCCTTGTTGACTTTTTCTTTTATGGATTTACTGAAAGCAAAATTATTAATGCCAGTCACTGGCATGTAAAAAGAGGTAATTTACTGCATTCAACTGTGACTGTCAAAATGATCCTGGCCCTGTACTCCCAGTTGGAGCATAAGAGACAGTGGCCTCAGGTTTGTCTTTGGGTGGTGACGAGCTGATGAGGCTGGACCCCTGGCTGGGGGAGGTCAGAGGCTAGCATGAGAGCTGCCTACGGGCCACGTCTTCACAGCCTGGGAATGAGGGAGTTCAGAGGCCAAGGCCTTTGCCTCCTGGGAGCCAGCCCTCTGACTCTTTGACTTTTGTCAGGACCTCCTCACTCTCCCTGTTTCTGAGTGTAGGCTAAGAACAGCTGCGGGCAGATGTCCCTTTGTGCAGGAATAGGGCGGGATAGGTGCACCATACTGTGAATTTGGCTGCCAATATTTTGTGTGTGTGTGGGTCTGTGTGTGAATGTGTGTGAGGAGTGTGTTTGTGTGAGGGTGTGTGTATTCAAACGTGAGAATTGTATGAGTGGTGTGTGAGGAGTATGTGAAGGTGTGTGTGAAGGTGTATGAGGGGTGTGGGTGAGGGATGCATGTGTGTGAGGTTGTATGTTTGTGAGGGGTGTGCAAGAAGTGTGAAGTGAGGGAGTGTGTGAGGGTGTGTATGAGTGTGAGGGGTGTGTGAGGGTAAGGGGTGTGTGCATGAGGGTGTGTGAGGGATGTCTGAGGGGTGTGTGAGGGGTCTGCAAGGAGTGTGTGTGAGTGTGTGTGAAGGGTGTGTATGTGAGGGTGAGGGTGTGTGTGAATATGTGAGGAGTGTGTGTAAAGGTGTGTGCGGGTGTGTGAGGAGTGTGTGAGGGGTGTGAGGAGTGAGGGGTGTGAAGGGTGTGTGAGGGTGTGTGTGAGGGGTATGTGTGAGGGGTGTGTGAGGGTGTGAGGAGTGTATGCGGGTGTCTGTGAGGGGTATGTGTGAGGAGTGAGGGGTGTGTGAGGATGTGTGTAAGGGGTGTGTGAGGGTGTGTGTGAGGAGTGTGTGTGGGTGTTAGGGTGTGTGTGAGGGGTATGTGTGAGGGATGTGTAAGGAGTGTGTGTGGGTGTGTGTGAGGGGTATGTGTGAGGGGT